ACACAGCACCCTCAGACATTCACACACACACAAACACACACACACACAGCACTCTCAGACACACACACAGCACCCTCAGACACACACACACAGCACCTTCACTCACACAGCACCCTCAGACACACACATCAACTTCAGTCACACAACACACTCACACACAGCACACTCTCACACATATACAACACACACGTATGTATAATATATAAAATAATCCTCCGTAAGTAAACAGACAAAAACAATTAGAAACATAGAATGTGACAGTAGATAAGAACACCCTCACACACACAGCACCCCTCTTACACACACACTGCAATCCTCACACACATGCTGCACCCTTCACACATACACACAGCACACACAACACACTGCGTCCTTCACACATACAACACGTCTATATATATATATATATATATTTATGTATGTGTTTGGACGTATTGTATGTCTGAAGGGCACAGTGTGTTGGGTGTGCTGTCTGTATGTGTGAAGGGTGCAGCATGCATAATATTATTATTATTATTATTATTATTATTGCCATTTATATAGCGCCAACAGATTCCGTAGCGCTTAACAATATTATATACTACATGTATGTACGTAGTGGGGAATCGCGATGCAGCCTAGTACGACTCTAAACCCATTTACCCCCCCCCAATAACGACAGACCACTTAGTATGGATGAACAGGCCACAGCATTTATTATCACAAACTAAATTACTGCATAACACATCCATAACTTTATTCATTAAATCTCTTCTTTCTGTAACCAAAACGTTAGACATAAATAAGCATAAATTAACATATATACATATATAACTCCACCCATAGTGTTATACAGTGACCCAACCGTCCTTGCCAATAAACATACAGTGGTTCCTAATCACCACTTCCTCTCACCTCCCCCCTTGTCATAAAAATCATATATTTCCAATGCCCTCCATCAGCCGACCTTACCCACGCTCGATGGGCATGACACCTCAGGCAACCTAATGTTTAACCTTTTGAAGCAGGGGAGGTTGAGACCTAAAAAAACTTGTTCATCTCATTCCATATACTTAAACGTAACCACTGAAACTCAATTGGCAAGGACATACCCCCGCCACAACCCCGCTGTTTTACACCTAAAATCAGCGGGGGACCCCACCATAACCAGCCATGGCCTGTTCCACCACTTCTTGCAGCACTAGATTAACATAGGCCTATTCCGACCTCCAGCAAGCGCACCCATCCCCTCGAGATAACTAGGCCGCATCTGGCCAAACCCAGAAACCCATCTTGTCAGAATTTTTTACGGCATCGCACCAGGGCACCAGGGCACTCACAGCGCACTGCCGACCGGAACGGACGATAGCCTCAGCCTAGCCCCTGAGAACCTCTGGGAAGAAAACAGTTTGCGCAATATGTCCAGATTGAAGAGCACCCAATACCCAAAACATCATTCCACCCAGGGATGACAAAACCCCCTGGTACCTCCATGAGGCGGGACAGCTGACCCCGTACGAGGAGGACCACACCCCCTCCATGTAACTGGTGCAAGACCACTGAACCTCCGCTCCCGAAGGCGTACGATCCAACCACTCGCCCCCGCCTCCTGGCCCAAATTACATACGAGCATCCCACCATCCCCTTTCCGGGGGGACCGTAACCGCGGTGAGAAATCCATTCGGAGACCAGCAAGGTGAACCTGAAGGAACCCACCACCCTGACTCCCACCATTCGAGCCCCCTGAACCATTGGCGCAGGCACACCAAGCCTGGCGGCGACCGTAGCCATCCCAAACCAGAATAAATGCCCCTTGAACGCCCCACCATCCTTCAGGCAAATGACGGAAACCTGCACCACCCCCGATCGGAACGGAATTTGTCAGACTATCCTGGGAACCCCCCTTGCATCGTGTTAGGAGCCCAACCATTACCCCGTGCATTCCATCTACCTTAGGAGAATGCGGAAAAGCCAGAGCATGTCAACCCCGCAACATCCAAGAATTGCACATCGACGAATCAGCCACACCGCAACTGACTTACCCGTCCCAACAACAACAGCCGTCGAGTGGCGAAACCTGAAGTAAGTCCGTCCACCAAAACACCCCACCACTTGCCGACGACCGTAACATGAACAGGAAGCCGAGCCGTGTCAATCGCAGAAATCACCCCCAGCGCCCTTAACAGACGGAACCAAACATGTAGATGAGCAGTCCACTCCCGGAACTCCCAAGGAAACGTTCCCATTCGTCCCGGTCACTCCCACCATACTGGAGTGTTCCCCACTACGCCTCATAGGTCGACCCACGGACCAGCTTCATCAGACCATTGGACCAAGCGACCACCTCCACTGCCCTAACATTGACCCCGCGACACCTCTGCCCGAAGTACGCCGTATAATGACCAAGACAGAGCATCGGCCACCACATCGGGAATACCCGGACACAAAACCCCTGACCAGCCGTCCCCAGACTCAAACAGCGCCAAGCCAGGAGCCGCAACCAGAGTAACACCAGGGTAAAGGGTACTGTCACATGACAAGACAGCCCGCACCACCCCACGATGGTCCCAAAGGAAAACCCACCCACCTGTTCGAGAGCTGGGCACCCCAAGCCACCGTTAAGGGAGGCCCAGAAGGAACCCCATACAGTCCAAAGGGCAACCCCAACAAGCAAAGCCCAGCGTACCCAGGAGAGTCGAAAGGTAGTGCAGCCTAAACCCACAACGCCCCTCAAAACCACCGACGCCTCGTGCCCGATGACCCAAACCGCAGTCAGGGGCAACCGATGTCCCGTTGCAGGAATCGATCCCACTATCCAGGAGACTACAGCCCGTATCCCGACCTACGGATATGGCCTGGGCCACCGAACTCCGAAACTCATAAAACTACCCCAGGAAAAACACTGCAGCAGCAGAGTGCGGACATGCGGCACCGACGGCCCCACACATAAACGACATCGGGAGCAACCCACGAGGAGGCACATAGCCACCCAATCCTGACCGTCGGAAACACAACCTGGAAACAATCAACCCGACGGGCGTACCGGCAGCAGCCGGAAAAACGATTCCACAGCCGCCTTTGTCAGCAAGGCCCCGCAGCCCCTCCCACGCAGCCCGCTGCGCCACGCCATCATCCCAAACCTAGCCCCTGGAAGGAAACGACAACTGAGTAAATAAGGAATCTGGCAATACCGACCCTGCTCCTCCATGGGCACCATAACCCAAAGGGGAGGGGGGGTGGCGCAGAGCGAACTCCAGGGGCACCCTAAACGACCGGGAAGTAAACTTATCAAGCGTTCTTGGTAAACTGGACCCACATCGCCCGATGGAGCTCCCACATGGACTGAGGGCCCTGCACCGAGAGCACCCACGTCCCCCATCCCGACAGATTGCAGAGAGGACGAAAAAACACGCCGTGCTGAGGTGCCAGGTGAACCCCAAAGAAAACCAGCGGCCAAAGCCCATCTGGCCCCAGGCCAAGAAGGGTCGCACCGCCAACCGTTGACGAAAGTGCAAAACGTACCTCCACCAACCGAGCTCATCCCAGGGACGATACGCGTCCCGAGAGTGTCCTGACCGCAGAACCACGCAGCGCAGGCTCGGGGAGCCCTGTCCCCGACCATGCTATCCAGAAACCGGGGAGCATCCGAATATGCGCCCTGGGGTGTATCCGACCACAGCATGCTCCCCACGACCCTCCCAGAGCCCATAGTGCCCCCCTTAGTCAAGGGACCCCCGTGGCAGGAGGGAACATACCTTCAATAAAAACCCCATTCTCCATCTGCTCCCTAGCGTTATGCGCAAGCCAAGCGGGCCACATGAGCTCAGCAGCCCCAGAGTCACGTGAACCTGGGAGGCATCACCGGCGCTATCAGCTGCGCCAGACGCTGCGGGAAAGCGTACCTAAACGTATGATACATACTGAAAACGGAGAGGGGTACCTAAATTTTGTTTTATTGTGGATTCTATCTCATAGTTTTTTGTTTTTTTTAATTCTCCCCCTTGTACTTGATGTTGGATTCCTTTTTTTTTTTTATTTTAGTCCAATAGGTAATTTACATTTTATTTCTGTCCTGTAATTTTTTTCTCCGTTTGTATCAATTTCTTTTCTTTTCTTTTTTTTTTTTAATTCTTACTTTTCTATTTTTTTTTGTTTTTGGAAGAAAGGAAGAAAGGAATTAAGAACGTATGGACACGAAAGCACTTAAAAGAAGGGAAATGTACTCACCGGACGCATATGTTGCTCCCCTTAATGGATTGATTCCAAATATGTAATTTTTATGAAGATTGGATGTGTAGTTTGGAAGTTATAGTACATGTATAAAAACTGTATTTTTACTGTTCTGTTTTAATTATGTTATGTGATTATCTGAGGGATGGGAATTTCCCCGAATGTATATTGTTCCGATTGGTTATACTGCTAATTATGTGGGTGTCTCCTTGCATGGGCAGAATCTCATAAAAGCAGAGTGTGTGCCATTAAACATCAGATCTTCTTGACCCTCAATACGTAGCCTTGTCTCGTTATTGGAGGGAACTGCTATATTACACTGGGGATTGCTATGCTCTGCATACTCCCCTGAGCTTTTAATCACTTAGCTCTTTTAAGAGCTGTTCCTGTTACGCTCTCCTGGAGGAGAGGTCTTCCCCACACGGTCCTGGAGGACAGAAGCTGATCCAGGGTGGAAGGAAGACGGCGAGACTCCAGTTAAGCTACGGCGGTTGTGGAGTCTGCGGTGGTTGTGGTGTCGGCTGCAGTGTTTGGAGTCCTCAGGAAGCGCTAGGAGCATCCATCAACGGAGGGTACTCGGTCGGAGTACAGGGAGCTCTGTTACACAAGGTAAGTGACCTGCGGGGGGGGGAGGTGGGATCAGGCAAGGTAGAGAGAGGGGGCGGGAGAACAGAGGGGATGCAGATAGGGAGGGATAGAGAGGGGGGATTAGAGCAGAAAGGGGAGGAGGGGAGAAGGGGGGTGCAGGCCCACCAGAGGGGGGGGGGAGAAAACCAGGAAAGAGGAGAGGGGACCAGGGGGGGGTAGCCCAGGCAAGGGTAAGCTGGGCCCCCTGGAAGAAAAGGGGAAATAAAGTCAGACTAACAGGGAGGGAAGGGGAGACAGAGCCCTGGGAACCTTCCTCACTGGCAGAGGAGGCTCCCAATGGGCAAGGGGACCCCCTCCCAGACCCTCACAGCGGTACAAGGTACCCCGCACGGCCCGCAAGGGCCCACTCACCTCCCCGCCAGCCGTGGGGGACATGCACAGTTGCTGGGCAACCACCCGCCGCCCGGATCACCGGATCTGCCGCCTACCGCCCGCAATCCAGCGCTGGCGGCCGGGGCGGATGGTGTGGAGGGGGGGAAGAGGAGTAGGCCGCGCGGCCTCCTGGTTCAGGCCGCATCCCCGGCCTGGAGGTAGCCGGCCGGGCGGCCCAGCAAGTAGCAGGCCGGGCGGCCTGGAAGTAGTAGGCCGCGCGGCAGTGGCAGGCCTCGTGGCTGAAGGCCGTGCCACGCGCGCGGCCTCAGTAGGCCTCACATCCCAGTAGAAGGCCGTGTGCCTGGAGCCTGGGCTCCTGCTCCTCCTGCCAGTGCTGGTGCGGCCCCCAAGGGCAACGGCTGCATGGGAGGCAGCAGGGGAGACCGCAGTGGGTGCTCCAGGAGAGGGTAGGCCACGGGGGGTGCCCACACCGGTAGCCATACCTCCAGTAATGCTTGCGAATTCCTCCCTTAGGTGCCGGCCACCATCCAGCGCAGCAGCCCTGAGGGACGACCGGATCGCCTCAATATCCATCCCTCAAGCCGTGTGAATCTTCAGGCCCAGGCAAACAGGAGCAGGACGACATGAAGCTGTTTGCTGGTCCGAATCCCAAGTGGCACTGAGGTAAGACCTCCCCCACACTAATTTACACAGAACATAATCCCACCCACACACTCTTTCCCATCCAATCCCATGCATCTATCCCCACACTCCTACATGTGCCCTTGTCCGCTTAGCTGCGCTATCTCCCCAGGGCCTGCACCACTACACACATTACGCTCCAGATACACTCTAGATCCCTTACCCTATATACACTCTGAATCCTCTATCACACACAGACAGTCTCCTATACACACTCTTGGTCCTTTACACACTAGATCCCCTACACACACTGCACCACCTACACACACTACATTCCTGACATACAAACTCTCGATCCCCTATGCACACACTATATTCCTTGTAAGCAAACACATACTACATTCTCTAAACATACACTCTCTACAACCCCTACACACACTACAGCCTGTATGCACACTATGCCCCCAATACACACACTCGCTACAGCCCCTAGCCACACATATTACACCACAACCACGAATGAAATCGACTTATTTACACAATACCACACCACAATCAGCTTACTCAACACACACGCAATCCCACAAGCAGGCTTCAAACACATCCACCATACACTTTCCTGGCCCTTCTGTCCTTTTGTATGGAGACACCAGAGAAGTTAAAAGCAAACACAGTGCAAGCATGTTATTAAATTTGCTTGCGCTGCACAGAACAAATACAGGGCCTTTTTCCCATGCTAGAGCTCTTCAGCAGGGCTCTGCACATTGAACCAACCATCATTAGTGATGACAAAACACACCCTCTATGGCCCAGCCCCTTTCTCGGGGGGCCGCTGTGATTGAAAAATGCCCGGGCCGAATTTTTTTCCCAGTCCGGCACTGCACACACTCTATCATCCCCATTCACACACTGACACCCCTTCACCCAGCTATATATA